ATATATGGATTAACATAGAGACCAAACACACACACACATGCATCTTTATAACCAAATGGTTGTGAACAAAGTGATCATGAGTCTGGTAACCCACTACTTGCTATGTACAGCTCTGAGATCCAAAATCATAATAAAGGTTGCTAGTAGAGAGCTTGTAGAGGACCTTAGAATTAGAACTAGAGACAAAACCTTCGGAGACCACCTCCTCTGTGAACTGGTTTATTTTGTAAGTGGAAAAAAAAACTAGATCTAGCCATAGCCACAGCCAATGGAATCACAGATAATGGCCAAATTAATAGTGAAGTTAACAGTCTCCTCATTCCAAGCGAATTCCAGTTCCACCTAGAATTTTCATCGGGTTTGACCGAGGTAGGCAGCACAGAAAGTCACAGTTGCTCCGATCCTGGTTTCCCATGTGAGGTGAGTGGTGCATGGCCAGACGCATTTAAGCATGACAATGTAATGAGGATCCCAGAAGGTCTCCGTGCACCGTGCCGAAACAGAATTTTCCAGGCTATTATTTTAAGAAATTCCATTTCATCCCAATAAAAAAGGGGGTAGTGTGCATAACCTGCATGCAGTTTTAGCTATAAGAACACTACATATGAGAAGTTACGTAATAATTGCCAAAGCATCTGTGACGGAGGAAGATGATATTTTCTGTCATTGAACCAGTGAGGCTCTCTAGTCAGCCAGGGGAAGACCTGCAGGCTGCTCTCTCTCGTGGCTGAGGAAACCTAGTGGTGGAGACGCTGGAGGAGCTGCACGACACTTTCAGACCCCTTCAGCCCTAGAGTCAACATCTAACATCATCGCATTTCACCTAAAAGTCTTCTGGCAAAAAAAGAGACGGCCTTGACATGCACTCAGGGCAAACTTAAAGGGTTAAATTTTATATCACGCAGAGACTTGTAGGAAAAATCACAATACGGGTGTAAAGACATGCTATAAATAGAAGAATCATTTTGGGACACGCTCCAGTCTTTTAAATAAATGAATACATGTCTTGTTTTTGTGTTTAAACATGCCTAAAGCAACCATTCCTCTCTTTTTTGAGACGACTTATACAGAGGCAAGAATACCTTTGTCTGGAGGTTTTAGGCTTTTCTTTTCCTCACTCTTTAGTTTACAGGTCATGTTAAAAGATTTCCTTGTGATGGGGCCACGCCAAGAAGACCAGAGATCTTCAAAACGTTCATGCAGAGAATCCACTACCTGCTCATTCCATTTTTCCCATGAACGTTTTAAAGCTCTCTCATGTATTATCAGTTCTGAGTTAACACATCGCCTGGAGGGCTGTGATATGTCTTACTAAGTAACGGCTTCTAAAAACAACCTGGTGAGCATTAGATGAGTCACGGGCAGGGGTGTGGGCATTTGTTTTAGAAAAACTAGCTTCAGATCCAAGTTTGAAAAGCTTGTTAACACGAGCTAAAAACACTGCTTAGAAAGGACAGATAGGGTTTTGCTCTGCAACACAGGTCGGTCGGGTTTCTACACGTTGTGCTGATCTTACGGCAGCACAGGTGGCACACCAGCTTAGCCGGGCTAATCGATATGGCAAGCACCCCTGGATAATGACTGAAATGGAAATCGATTGTGAACGCTGGAACTGCGAGCAGTGTGGAAACATTTAGAACGGAAGTGTTTCCAAATTACAGTTCTGAATAATACTTGAGGCAAATAGCCCCTGCTGGGTGGCGCATGCTCCTGGCTGAGCCCCGACTCCTGAGTCGGGAGTGTGTGTGCGCAGAGTCCCTTTCCAAGCGGAGACGGGAGGAGCGAGCGAGAAGCAGAGGCTAACCTGTATTCTCCGAACGTTCCATCATCTTCTTTCATGGGCTGTATTTCAGGATCGGCGTGGGCGTCTTCCTTTTCTTTTACTGCAAATTTCAAAAGGACATTATGACCTTTGATATGATTTTCATCTGTCCTTACTCATGTGTTGATTTTAAGAGCCGACTCTTGGAGATATGCAGCAGTGGGGAAAACTGCATATACAGTTGATATTATATAACAGTACATGCATATATCATATACCTACCCACACATTTTGATGCTTTTGATCCTTTGGGGCATTCTAATATTTATAATAAGTCAGTTTGTCTTACTGTGGTGGCTTGGGTGGTGCTGTGATGCTGGAAGTTATACTGCTGGTATTTAAAACACCAGCAAGTCACCCAGGACAGACAGGTCTCAGTGCAGCGCTCAAGCTAAGGCAGATTGGGAAGAAGGAAGAGGCAAACCACTACTGGACAATTAGTAAGGTGACCAGATTTAAAGCGGGACACCATTGACCGACGGGGGGTGGGGGTGGGGGGGTGTTCTTGATTAAAAATTTGGTCTATATGGACCAAATAGACCGTTCCCTAGCTTGTCGTGCATTCTTTCCAAAAATAGGGATTTTTTTTAAAACGCCAAAAATCGGGACTGTCCCTCCAAAAGTGGGACGTCTGGTCATCTTAAAAAGGGACCACAGCTTGTTTGAACTTCAAGTCCAATTTCGTCATTCTGGGAAGATATACTTGCAGCAGTCGGCATGATGGTGCTCATGACTCCTTTTCATCTTAACAGACAGAGCATTCTAAAGCAATGTTAATAGTCATGGCTTACCTGGGTATTTCCCACCTTTGTTTCTTCTGATGAAGCAAACAATCAGCAGAATTAAGATCAGGAGAGCTACAGCACACATGAGACCAATGAACCAGCCCTGAGTTGCAATATCCACCTGTCGGCTTGCCATGGCTGGAAAACAAATTCACAGTGTTGGTGGGAGGGGTCAAGGAGGGATGTGAATTGTTGTCATCCCTTGTAATAACATATTACGTCAGCATAGGAGTTTTTAAATCAAGTTTACACTCAGCTTCATATTGGGATCTACCAGTTATAAATCCAGAGTTCTAGAAATACTTTCAAGATTGCTCATTAAGTTTAAAAAAAATCAGGTTTTTAAAATAGTGAAATCTGAATGCTAACCACACATTTAACAAACCACTGACAATTGTGCTCATACTTATGCATGGCATACATTATGCATGTCGTCTTAATATAAATGAAGCATTATCTATTCATTGTCAGTATAAACACATTCTCAAACCAATTAAAGATTTTGCTGTTGATGGGGTAAATTGCACATTGTTAAGCACAATGATAAGAAGATAACACTGGATTTCAAACAGAACAGAATGTATACATAATGGAGTATTCATCCTTCAAAGGAATCACTTTTGGAGGCTAAAATAACACTGCACTAATGCTGTCATTTTTCAAAATGTTTTAAAAACCCTCTGCTCAAAAAGAAAGCTGTCCATGCACAACCACTAGCCCTATTGTTTTATAAAACACCTCCATTTGCACCCAAAGTGTTACTTAGATTTGGTTTCCATCTGCTTGGCTAGCGTCTCCGTTTATGATGCCCTGGTTCTGAAAGACATTTGGAAAATTCTGAAAAATCAAATCCGCTCGCAAATGATCAGTATTTGCTACTGCTGAGTTAGGAACTGCAGACTGCGGAATCACTCACGAGCCTGGAAACTGGAGAAGTAGAGCCATCAGGGAAAGCAGCCTTCAGAGAGCTGGTCAACACCGACGTCTCTGTGGCGTGGCTTTAAGAGCAAATACTGGACATGAAGGTCTATCAACAAACCCCTTCTCAAAAGATTCATCATTAGGAGCAGCCAGAAGAAAATTTCCTAGGTTTATAAGTATCAAAACCACCCGAATCTTGTCCAGATAACGACCTGAAAGCACTCAGGTTGACAGCATCTGGAACGGCTGAGGAGGAACCTCTGTCACTGGCGAGCCAGGAGGCGGTGCCTGCCTGCAGCACCCCTCTAGTCACAGAGCCGCCGGGCGCTCAGTGCACTGCCCCTGAGAAAGGTGAGGCGGGACGAGGCAGAATGCACCAATTCTGAAGTCCCGGAAGCCCTTACGAAGGCTCAACAATCTTAAGTCATTGCCAGCCTCGCAGAAGGACCACCGGCCTTAACTTAAATTTAAACATGTTGAATGAGGAGTTGGATAAGCTATTGTCTGATGTTACCTCCTTGACCTTTTAAGTATCGATACATCTGCCTACCCCTGTGCCAGCGACTCCACTGGAATCCAAGCAGCCTGCTGTGACAAGCCCACTGCTGCTCCCAGGACTCCCACGGAGGGATTTGCAGGATGCTAACTGCTACTAAGACCAACACACCTTTGAATACCCTAGATGCACCTCCTCACTTTGTCTGACACTGCATCCCCATCTCCTCGTGATTCTCTTGGGGGACGTAACGTATGGTATATGCCTATGGATATAACATATAGGATACGTCTATGCTAATAATCACTAAGATTAGTTAACATTTGTATACAGCTGCATCGATTCAAGCAACTTTTTAAGTCTGTGCCAAGAAAACCTGCAACCAATCATGAATTTTCTGCTCTGATTAGGGTGCACCTGTTTCCTAAAGGCTCAGCTCTAACCCTTTCAGCAGCAGAGCTGCAAACAAAAGGCATGTACACAGGTGCCACCGCGCAGCGATGGGCAAGAACTCCATCCTACTCCATGACCACATGGACTATTTCGGAGGAAGCTGCTCCAAGGGAATACTGCATTGTACAATGACCTTCTCCGGGGCAACAAGTTGCTGGGTAGCACGAGTCTCTTCAGAAACAAACCTCTCAGCACAGACACACAATTGACCAAGTGCCACCTTCCTGCAGACCCAACTCTTTGTAGAGGCTCTAAATCTTGAGAAGTGTGCCATCCTTCCTGCGGCAAATACTTCCCAGCCTGACTCGACCCTGGGTGCACTGGATACTGGCCGCTCCCACTTCCACTGAACTTGGTTGTTTGGCTGAAGACCCTACATCTTGGTCAGTCTGTCCGGAAGGCACGTTCATTCCTTCCAGCCAACATCAAGCCACATTCTTAGTGTGCACGTAAGTTCATTATAGAAGACTGTTTCAAGTTCACCGTTCTATTTAATACAGTGAAAGACTCATGTAATGATGCCTGAAAGATCTGAGCTTCTATTTTGGCTTTGCTGTTTATAGATTACCTTGGTGGTCCTGAAGATAATTAATCCTCCTAAACTTTTGCTTCCTCAAGCATGCCAGCCTTCCTTCATAGGATCAACAGGAGACTCAAGTGAGATCATAGATCATTTTGAAGCTTGAAATTATAGAATTTAAATAAGAGAACTTTTGAAAAAAACAGTATTGGTTACTGTTTAGAATCCATTCAAAAGTCTTTCAAATAGATCTTGATCAGCACAAGGATGGCTGGAATAAGCGATCTGTTTGAAGGGAAAATACTCATTCAGCTGTATACATTTGCACCGTCTGCATCTGTTTGATTTTAGTAAATAAATGGCACAGTGTGCAAGACTCCTTTGAGAACCATGGAGCAAGTAGCATTTCTGGCATCATTCAAATGGGTCACTCAGAGGGAAATGGGGCCAAGTGCAGCACCATGGTTATTCAGACAGGTCCTGCTTAAATGAATGGGTCTGAATTGTCTTAAAGCCTTTTCTGTCTTCTCTTCTGACCGTGATCTACTCAAGGAAAAAGGTTTTCTTTTGGTTTCATAAGTATGTCTAGATCATGAGTTTAAATTGACTGACTTTCCTCTGAATACAGTTAACATGGTTGTGGAAGGCTTATCTGATCCCTGGAAGGAGAAAGGAAAAGTACCCCAGGCTCTGCTGTGCGGTCCAAGAATCGCCGCCTTTTTCTCTATACAAAGTGAGAAAGTGGAGAAAAAGGAAATGCTGGAAATGACATGTGGAAAGGATTGTGAGCCATGTGTGTATGCGTGTTTTTAAAAGCAATGGCATGAGAACTGGAGTTACGTTGTTCAGAATACAGATCAAATAGCATGTCTCCAACGGGCCTTTGTGCATCCATTTTGTGTGTCTGCTTTGCGTGGGTCTGAGTTGTTTGATCGCCAGGCATCACTGCAGCATGAGAATAGTTAGTTCCCCCTTTCATATACAGACCCCAGGAATCAACACGATGGAGAAGAAGACAATGGTAATAACAATGGCAGCTAACAGTTTTGAACTGTGACTACATACTAGGCACATTTGGGCATGGTCTCATTTAATCTTTACAACAATCCTTGGAGGTAGGCACGAAGGCACAAATCCAGAAAGCATGAGCTCTGAGAGGGAAAGCGCTTGCTGGAGAGTTGGGATATAATCTAGGTCTTCTTCATTGCAGAAACCTCTTCTCTCGGAATAGCACGTATTCCTAAAAACATGGCTAGACACCGAATCGCACAGAAGAATAAAATGTCTGGGGACTTTCCATTCCAAGAAGCATAAATATATTTTAAAACCTATTCTTGCAGATTCTTTGAAAGTATATTTTTGTCACTTTATACATGGTCTTTGTGTGCTTTTATCCCTCTATAAAACGGAGCCAAGAATTGGTGTCTTTTGAGCATTTGATTGAAGTGAAAGAGCTCTAACTTTTAGTGGGTTCAATGTCATACCGCTTTCTCTTCGATGGCATCAGCACTTTCATTTTTCATCTAATTAAAACACACCAGGGCACAAGGGCAAACGGCAGTAAGAGCTAGGGGATGAGCACTAGCACCGGCTCTGGGCGCTGCAAAGACAGAGACTACCCGGACGGAATGGCTAGCTGGCAGCTTGTAGCTGTGAAACCAAAGATTTCTGCTTCTCTGGCTAAAGAAGAACAAAAGGAATCACTATCCCACCACAGTCTTAGATTACGATTCAGCAGGCAATGCTGAAAATTAAATATTTACATGCATCAGAAAACTTCATTAAGAGAGTAAAACGGGGACACACAGGCGAGTAATGCAATCCACAATGACAGGCCCGACAAAGGATTCACCTATAAAATGTGTAGAAAACTCCAGCACCTTCACAGCAAGAAGACAGGCGATCCAATTAAAACGTGGGCAGAGACATAAGCAGACAGACACTCAGACGGCCACCAGACCCACGAAGCCCTGTGATCAGCAGCCATCCGAGAGATGCAAATCAAAAAGGCCGTGCGCTATCATCTCACCCCAGCAGTAATCACAACGCTTAAGATCACAGCTGGCCACTCGGAAAGGGATCACCCCAGGGGGTGCTGGGTAAAATGGGAGAAAAAAACGTGGAACAAAATAATAATAATAATCGTAAAAGCTAAGTTTACTGGTCTGAAGGAAACTAATGACGCCCCCAAGACTATGACTCTAGATACCCTTCAGTCTGGGACCAAACTCTCTCCCACTCAACTTTCAGCCCAACATGAAAACGGCCCACAAGGTAATGATGCGTCAGAACCAACTTGATGGTGGTGAGTTCTCTGGAAAGTGAGACACAGACTCCTTTAATAGTCACACAGATACCAGCCGAAGGGAAGCATTTCCGCGGGGATAAGTTCAAAGTCAAGAAGAGAGGAATAAAGAAAGACATGCAAACTCTAATCACAGGAGGAAATGGGAAGAGTATTGTTACATTGTGGGGGTTGTAATCAATGTCATGAGTCAAAATGTACATGAATGTTGAATGGAAAACCAATTTTACGCTGTTAACTTCCACTCAAATCACAAGAAAAAGTGGGGGGGGGGAGGCAGCCACAATGTATTAACATACAAAATAATTTAATTTGTGACTATGGCCTGAATGATTTTAAGAAGCTTTTAGTCTTTACAGGACATTTTAGAAATGATCTTAACTGCTGCATGCAGATAGACACGCAAACAAAAGCCAGGAGCACGATTGTGCATCTCACACATA